TGCCTAAATTACATCCCTATAGCTATAGGCCATATCCCATAGACCCTATTCGAAGACATTCGTTTGTCCCTAGCGGCCTTGGCCTTTCTTCTACGGCTGGGACCTGGGGGTTGGCCCACTAGCCCACTAGCCCAGCCCCAGATATAAAAAAGGCGCAACTGTATGAAAAAACGATCGTCGAACCGAACTTCTTCATCTCTTTCACAATTCACAAATCTTTTCTTTTACTTTGTCTATTTTAACCCTTGATTTGTGTACGAACAAGGAGAGCGGTAGAATTGAGAACAGTAGATAAGCCATGGACCCCACTGTCCAAGTAGCTGTACATTACATTTGTCATTTGATGATGTATGGACTATGGACAATGGACTCTGCCTCTGTAGTGCGTCCTGTACTGGCACATGGAACATCGACTAATTGGTCTGGACTCTGGAAGACTCCACTCAAAAGGCTGGACTGGACCAGCTGAGCTCTGGAACCTAGGCTACTTCTTATCCTAAAAAAATATTATTAGGTTCACACTTCACAGTGACAGACTCTTTTATGAGTAGTGTTGGTGGGGTCTGGCCATCTGGGACTGGGATCCCTAGTCCCTAGGACAGAGAGAGAGAAAGAGGGGCCACCATTGGACAGCCGTAGGAGCTAGGGAGTAGGTAGGCAGACAGACGGGTCGGAAGTCGGAACCTGTGAGAGTCTGAGAGATGTGACCTCAACTCCCTCTCACCTCTCAACTTTCAAAGCTCCCCCATTAATGCTTCTGGTTCTTGGATCTATACAAGTTTTTGAGCTGTCTGTTTCTGCTTCCCAACTTTAATACTTAAATATCAGCATTCAGATATTCTCGATACATCAAAACAGAAGAGTTATGGAATACCCATCTCACTGTGAGAATCTTTATGAATTTTTAGTGGATTGGTTAGCAAACTAGTCTATTCTCTGGACTCTGGGCCTACCCAAAAAAAAGAAATGTCTATTCTTTTTCTTTACAAGTAAAAAACATTTCACTAAAATTACGTTGGAGCTACTTGTGGTTCTGTTGGAGCTTGTTTCATCAGAACAGAAAGAACCTGGAAAGAACTTGCGCTATAGTTAGACCTGTGCAAAAGAGGGAAAAGACCTCTACACAAGACAGGGGTAGGGCAGTGCCAAAGATCATGCATCCTGATTCTTTCAATGGACTTGGAAAACAGAGATGAGGAGTTCATTTGATTCAATCTATACACAGAACCCGCGAGGCAATTAGCTTCGAAGACACATGAGGGAAATCAACTCTCTTATTCAATCTGTCCCTCAGAGCAATAATATCTTGAATGATTTAATCTACAATCCAAGGGGGCTTACTTTGGCAATGCTTGGCAACACCCTTGATGAAGATGTTATCACAATGGATGAGTCCTACCCCCCTCCCAATTCCAAAAATGTTGTTGAGTAGCCACTCGACTTGTTAAAAGCCCTAACACTTACGAACAGCTAATATTTTGGCAACTCTCACGGCAGAAGAAACAAGTAATTCTTTCCCCTTGGTTGGCTTCTGTCTATTCCAGGTAGCCTACTCTCATGGCCCTTCTCCTAATTATAGCCATTTTCATGAATTCAAATCTAGGACCCCCTCTGCCCTTTTCTTTTCCATGATTTCAACCCAAGACATGAGAATATGCCAAAAGGCTCCAGAACCGATTAAACATGTCAAGCCAGATAGTTTAGGTGTATATTTTCCAAGATGGTGTGACAACTAATGGATGATCCAAATGGTACTTTCTTTTGGTGGGGTGGATACAAATTTCATGGGTGCAAATGGGACCCATCCAACGAAATATCATATGCTGTGGTACCGTAACCTATGTCTATTATTTTCTTTTTCCTTTTCCTATGCCTCAAACCTTTACAAGTACATTATCATCTTTACCAGCTTCCTATACATGAAAAGGTTTAGACTTGAAATCATTCCAAGAACTCCTAGGAGACACGTTTACTTCATAAGTAAGGTATCTAGATCAGATGCCAAAGCTGAGAGAGAAGATAGTATGGATGAATACGGCTTCTTTTGCCATGACCATGACCATGAGGTGGCATCTTGGAAGTGTCCAATGTATTAGAGACATCACCATCTATCTGGTACCCTCCCACACGTCTCACCCAAGGCCAATTTCGGTGTAATACTTCTGCGGCTAAAGTATCGTATAGGTACTTGTATACACACAAAAATGATTTATTTTTTTAGATTTTTTTTTTTAATTTAATTTTGGAGAATTAAAAAAAAGTAATTTTTATTAAAAAAGAGTGAGATCCCAAAATACTATAGAACCCAAAACATATAATATGATACATCCGATGTGGGGTATATAAAAAATCGATACAATAATCTCCCTGAAGTTTTTGACAATCATAAAAACCTCTCCTCTATTTTTGAAAAAATCAACAAATACCTCCCTTCAATTAATGATCAAGACGGAAAATGTTAAAGATGTTTTTTTTAAAAGTACCTATTTTACCTCTCCCTATAATCCACTCCAACACTGTTCATCTTTTTCCTCACATGCAATGTGGCAGAATGGCTATAGACTCCCCCCTCCAGAAGGTTGCAATAGACCTCTCCATCAATGCATTTTGCTTACCTCCTCACAACAAGAAGAGATTCATCGAAATCCAAGGCCTCCCCCATTACCTTTTGAAATGGCGTTGTTGGTTCTCGGGAGACTGAAATCCAAAGAAATCACTTCTAGGTACATGTACCTTTCCACTTCCACCTCCTCTTCTAGACGATGCCCACCTCCTCTTGTTTCGAGGCCCACTACCTCGACAGCTGCTTCAACACCATTGCCATCTTTGATCAAACAGTCTCAGTCTACCAAGCAGAGGCATCCAGTCACCCCTTGACCCACCATGCCACTTGCCTGATTCGATGAGGACGGGCAATGCTACCAAAGTTTCAGTAGCTTCAAAAATGTTGTTCTACGCGGAGTTTATCAGTTTCGTTTGAAGGGGAATCATTCTCACTTCCAATTAGTAAGATGAAGGTCGCTTCAATGTCCAAATTGAGTAATACGAGAAAGGCTACATCGGAGTGAAGGAGGACGACGCCATTGAGAGGGAAGATTGTTGGTCTTGGAGGAATAGATTAGATGGAGAACTCAAAATCCATTGATCAACAATGTTGGTCGGGCTGAATTAGAATGGCAAATCCTTTAACAAGAAGTTCAGTTTACATTGTTGACAAAAAAAAAAACCTCATTGGATCTGGAATCGTGGTTCGCGCATTGCAGCAATCAATGATTGATGAAGGTAAGAGGGCATCGTTTGATGGTAGATTACATCGGGATTCAAGCATTGCCAACTTTGTGAAGACTGTTCAGCATGCAATGGATGCCAATTCCATAAACCTCCCACTGAGGTTTGTAACCATAGGTTTTTTTTCAAAATTACAAGGGGGTTTGTTAAATTAAAATCAAAGTTCATTATTTTCTCAGCAATCTTTCTTTGACTCTCTCCTTTTGTTTTCATTCCAACATTCTATTTCCATCTGAATCTGGTCCTTTAAGACCTTGATTTGATTTCCTTTTCTAGGAGGAGAACAAAGCTGCATTCTTGGTCTTGAATTTTCTCTTTTGATTTGTCTGGCAGAAATTTGTTTTCCTAAGAGTTTGATATAGGGTCCTTGCATCCCTTTTTTTCCTTGTAAAGTTTGTATTATATAGATGTGTTGCTTTTCTTGTACAAGTCCTCAAGGAAATGACGTAAAGAAAAATTGAAGACAGTAACAACGTTCGATCTTGCTCTCGCCATTTCCATAGTTTTCAGGTCTCTCTCTCAAACCTTCTATTGATCTCTTTACCATTGCTTTGGGTTATAGGAACCAGTTTGCAAAATGGATGCCAAATCTGATATTGACGATGTCTCCTGTGGCAGAACTTCTAGAATACAGGAGTGCAATGGGATTTCTCAAGCTCGGATTGGGCATCATGGAATAAGTGTCCTTGCTAGGTTGTTCGAGTGGAGGAGTACAAGAGTGCAATTCTGCCACAATGCATATAAGGAAGTGTTCGAGCGAATTATGGAGAGGGTAAAATAGGTATTTTGAAAAAAAAGCATCTTTTTAACGTTTTTCGTCTTGATTATTGACTGAAGGAAAGTATCTATGAATTTTTCTAAAATAGAGGAGAGATTTTTGATTAAATGAAACTATAGGGAAGGTTTTTATGATTGAAACGGTGAATGATTCAACCGCCCTCGTTGAACATTTGATTAACCCATACCCATCTCACCGAATACTGATTCTCTCACTAAATCGATCGTCCTTTGGACCCCACAGGAAAAAAAAAAAAAAAAAGAGGGAAAAGCAAACTAATCCATTCCATTCTGCAACCACCTTAAAGCCAAAGGACGATAAGACACTGCAAGTACACCCTAAAGATAGTACGACCCATACACACTCCTTCATATGAGAGAAAGACCAGATACAGCGCAAACAGAAGCCCCGGTGCAGGTGAAATACGGTAAAGCAAGAGACACATTACACAAGACGAGCATGAATTGGAATGTATGCACATCCACGTAATTTTTTGCCTCGGAGTTGCAAGAGAGCAGAGAGAGAGTTCAGGACAGAGACGACCATCTCTAACGAAAAGAGGAACACCTTTCTCACTTTTGAGTTTTGACTACAAGGGGGTTGAATAAGTCCTGTTTTAGGAAATTAAAGCCTCTGGATCACCAATCCATATGCAAAATGTCCATCTCCATATTTTGATGCGGCAATAAAAAAAAAAAAAAAAAAACATTACACCAGACTCGATGGACCTAAAAAGGTGGGACCGAGGGAGAGGAGAAAATGATGCAAATATTGAAGGAGAAAGCAGTGCCAGTAACCCATTTGAACCATAAATATTCAGCAAAAAGAAATATTGGGTCGGAGGAATACCGGAAAATACTGGAATAGGAACAGTTCTTAGCATCTTCCAAGGTTAAGGCAAATAATAAATCACTTGCAGGAATCTCAATTTGCATCTCCAAAAAGCAATGAATGAAATTGGCATTTCCATGAATAGAGAGCTTTATGCACTACTACATTTTCTATGAACTCTTGAGAATGAAAAAAGAACAAAAAAAGGAAACGACTGAACAATAACCGAATAATTAAGTCAATCCAATAGATCAAAGGAGAATATAATCAGATAAATCAAGGTGCAACTTCAAGCCTTGGTTCAAAGCAAAAACCAGAGAAGAGCTGTAGTGGGAATCTCTTTGTTACAGGGCACTTCTGTGACCACTTCCATTGCTTGTGGTTCATGTCAAACACAAGGAGAGCTGGACCACCATAACTCTGGATGTATATGAGATCATCAGTGCCGCTGCTTGCAAAGACTTCATCAAACTCCCCAAATCCCTGAAAAAACTTGTGGGGCATCCTAGAAACCTCTCGCCATTCTTTTCCTTCAAGAATCCAAATGCCAATGCCCTTAATTATGTCTGGCCGGTCATGTTTCCCAATCCCACCCACCATTACCAGCTTGTCTTTGAGGTTCATGAGGCGACCACAGGTAAGAGAGAAAGGCACAGGGATAAAGGTCCTCATCAGCAAACCATGGGAAGATCGGCTAGAGAGATCATACATTATCAAGCCATGGCGATCAGGCCAGCGCATGCCACCTCCAGTTGCATAAATCAACAAGTATAGAACCCCATTGCAGATGACACTCTCATCACCACCCCTCCACCCTGTAAACATCTCTGTAGCAGAAGTCACCCATGTCATTGTTTCTGAATCATAAACATGGATTGAGAGATCCCATTGAAAGAAGTTGTCTGGGACTTGCTTAGACTTTGCAATTGTGATGGTGTAATTGTGAGATGCCCTATCTACCGATATTGCAAGGGCACTGTAGTCAGAATACCTCAGACCTGGAGGCTCTTGAAGCCTCTTATAGGCTTTTGTGACTGGGTTACAAACAAAAAGCTGGCTTCTGCTATCATTATCCATGAAGCAAACCAACCCGCATGATGAGGCAATAAACCAATTAGATGTCTCTATACAGGGAAGAACGATGCTGTACCATTTTCGAAAAATAGGATCATAAGCATACCCGATAGGATCATCGGTGCTGGTAAACATGTAGTACCAGGGTTTCTGTGAAGCAGTATTTAACCTTTTTGAATTTACGATTTCATTCCATCTTTTACACACACAACCTGCTCTAAAAATGCTGGCAACTGGGAGATAAGCTAGGATCCGCTCCAACAAGTCATCAGGGAGAATAACATCCAATGAAACCATTGTATTATCTTTGCTGCCTTCATCACATAGCTCCAAGAAAGGTTCAAACTCTGAAACCACAGGGACCTCTCTCCCAATGTCTTCAAAGCGATCAGTGATCCATGACGTTTCCCGCTCCATAACCAAGAAATTTAAAAATGCCCTGATAGAAAAGAAGAAAACAAATCTGAGGCAAAGATAAAACTAAACTTGCATGTCATTATCTCAGGTTAATGGGAACCGTGAAAAAGAATGTATTCCCAGAAAACAAGTCAAATTAAAGGAGGAAAAAGACTAATTAGAGAGAACCTACCTCCAAAAAATAATAGAAAATTATAGAAAGAACTATATAGAGAAGGAAAGATACCAAAGCTCCTAGTAAATTAGTAGTTGAACATAGAAGTTTGAAAATTGATCAAGTAAAACAATGGAAAATAAATAAGCCATGACAAGAGGAGAATATGGATAATTTCTCGGGCATAAATTATAAACAAACCTCAATTAACAATCAACGTCGTCAGACAATAACCCAAGTCCACCATTTTTTTAGTTTCGGATATAGAAGACTATGATAACCAGAATAGCCATCCTCCAAATGATAATAATATAAATATAAAATGACAAATAAAGTAACGATCAAACTCAATAAACAGTAACCTATTCATATGGATTAAGGAGACCACATACCCTCAGAGAGAGAGAGAGAGAGAGAGTAAAGAAAAACTTGAAATCACCAATAAAAGGAGAAAGGGAGTCTCGTCTGAATTAAGTTTAACTGAACCAGAACAATCTTCAAATATGCAAGATCTCAGAAAATAATATAGAGAATCAGATCGAACTTAAAATATTAAAAAATCTGATTAACAAATCCCCATAACAAATAGCAATATTTTCCGATCTTAGATCAGGGAAAATAAAAACAGAAGAAATAACAAAACAGTTACCAGGTAATATATAATTTATATTAAAATTCCCATTGGAATAAGGTAATCTAAACATATTTTAGATTAAGAAAATCGACATCACAGAAAAAGACCAATAAAAAAAGATTGGAACAAATCTCAGTTACATTCGAGCACCTCAAATTGAGCTAACTACAACAAAGAGAAACTCAAACTACTGATCCCGTCTCACCAAAAACTTAGCCAAGACTGAGAAAGAAAAGGAAAGAAAAAGAATATTCGATAAATAAACATGTATATCAAGATTTTGAAGAAATGCAACCATTGTTGGAAAATCTGAACTCGAAACCCTAACACGCGGCAATCCAAGAAAACAGAAAATAAGAGAAAAAGTAATGTTAGGTGAGAGATCAGAGCACATAAGCCCAGTAACCAGGCATTCCACCCCGCCAGGGTGAAAACCCAAGAAAGAAAGAAAGAAAGAGAAAATAACAACAGAAATCAAAATAAACCCACATTAAAGCACAAAAGAAAGATCAATAAAACGACAAACTGATTAAAATAAATAAAAGGAGAGAAGCATGATCATACCTTGCCCAAAGCAGAATTTATAACTCTTCCTGTCTACAACCCTTCTTTCCCCTTTGGTGATGAAATGGGTCTTTCTATTTCTGCCCAGAGTCTCTAGATTTAGCAGGGAAAAATACAGAACGGGGATAATCAATGAGAACCCAATGTCTACCCTTGCAAAACATGTCAAAAGAGGGAGATATATAAAAGACAAAGAGATGGATGAAATGGGTGGTTCTGTGTTTATCATAAAACTACCGATATAGAGAAGAGTCTTGCATCGACCCAACATCCATGTCGACTTCGCAGAGATAGAGAGTAGGGGGGGTGGTTTTATTGACAAGTAGCAGGAAAACTGGAATAGAAAACGGAAGGTGGTTTTCCTATAGGGCTGAGAATTAGAGTGGGAAGCAACGAACGAGAGCGACAGAGGTGGGAGGGAGCGAACTTTGGGTTTTTTATGGAGAGCATTTGATGGTGATGCGTTTTTTAAGCTTCGTGGCTTTTAACGAGAGACTGAGAGACCTCTGGATTTTTTAGCCTCACTGAACAGGAAAAAATAATGCTGTCTTGCTCATCACCCCATTTTCATCTCCTTTTAAAAAATCAAAACAACTTTTGCTTTCTTTCTTTTTTTTTTTTTTCTGTTCTTCTTTAATTAATTTTCTTTTTACCAACCAACCCACTCCCCTACTCAACTCACTACTCAGTTGCTTGGGCCCTTTTCCCAATCTAGCTTTGTGCTTTTGAAGCTATTTCTAAGAATCCCCAACGAGCTTGCCCCAAATTAATTCCAAAGTCCAAACCACATGTGCTAAAAACTGTCTTCAAAATTTCATGTTGGTGGTGGTGGCCACCTCAAATGCCTCCTTTACCTAAACACTAGTCACGATATTAAGCTTCTCCATCAGAATTCGGAAGTGATTTGAATATTAATTATGCAACATAACATTCTTAATTAATATTAAACTTACAACGCAAAAGAGATCTCTCTATTTTAGTAATGAATCCTTTTCCCTGTTTCTTTTACTTTTCTTTTACTATCCATTTTTCTCTTCTTTTTACTACACAATGAAGAATTAAAAACTCGAACTCAATTCATTCATGGCCGAAAATCAAGTTCGATTGAGTTCAATCCAGTAGAGTTTTGAGGTCTGAATCATTGAATCTAGTCGAGCTCAAGTAGATAGTAAACCCAATTTGGCTCTATTACATCCACCATATACAGCTATCATAATATCAAATCATTGTAATAGTTCAATTTGGATAGACTTGTCTTGTGTACACAGTCATGTATGATTTAGTGTTTTCGAAGGGACATTTTCCATACACATGATAAAAAGAGCTTCTATAGTCGAACCTGAACCTGAACTTAATATATAATACGGATGTATTTAGTTTGGATAGACTCGACAATGAAATATTCTGACGGCCTCACTCATTCACATACTCACATGCAATTCTATTAAACTTTATTTTTTGGGTTTCTAACTTTCTATTCTATACCATTGTCAAGGTAAGAAAGCTCCAAAGGAAAAAAAAACGAATGAAGGAATAAAACATATCCACAAGGTATATCCATCGTGACTCTAAATGGAACAAAGCCTAAATTATATAATACAGACAGAAGGGGGGGGGGGGGATATTATATACTACTTAATGATATTTCCTCCACTAGAGTATGTAGAAGCTCAATATGTACCACAGCTTCTATTGAAAACTAACCGCCTCTGCGTTCTGACCTACCCACATCGTATTTGGTGTCCTGATACTGTCTACTAAAAAGGCAAAAGGAAAATTGGGTTTTTTGGGGTATAGTGGAAATGGCACTAAGGCATTGGCATCCCTTTCCACACAAGCCATATGAATGCCACTCAACTCATAATTCACTACTATATCTAATATATAACTCTGTCATGTGTCCTTTTTTCATTTGACCCGACCCGTATACCCATTATGGGTCAGGCCTTTAGTAACAGTTGTCCTACGGTACAGGGCCTCCAAGGACAGAGACCAGGCTACCCATTTCATCCTTTTTACAGGAACCCCACCTGGTTTAAGCTCAGGTTGTGCAGTTCCCACGCCAGCCCTATCCGACCAATTGTCCCCACCTGCTTCTAGGGTACTTGCAGAAACCACCCTATACCATGTGTTCAAACATGTCTTTTCGAATCGATTGCATATATTGTACTCTTCTTATAGTCTCTATCCACAGACAAACAGAGAGGGGAATAGGCATGAGATGAATGGCAAATTTGAACTGAAAAGTGGATCAACCTTAGCACAGAAAAGACTCAGATTGAGTAGTGTTGAAGCAGTGAGAAAGAAAGAGACAACACAATTGAGAGATATTTGAGTAGAAGTTTAATTTAAAGAGGGAGAGAAGAGAGGGAGGATGAAAACTGAAAAGTAAGGGGAGGGGGGGGGGAGGGGAATTGAAGATGTAGAGAATGTCAAACCAAAGTACCTAAAATAATTATGCAATAATAATAATAATACTTCAGATGTGGTGGCAATATAGGTGGAGAGAGATTGCGGAATTGGAACAAAAAGGCGTGTCTCTGTAGTCTGTGTCACTATCACCCACTGAGGTGTTTGTTGGAATGTCGAGCTAAAGTCCAAAAAGTAATTTGTAAATCTGTGATCTTACTCTATACTCACTCCCTGAGTCGTTCCGTGGGGTCTCGAGATCTACACCCACCACCATCGTAACTCCCTCCCTTGCATAGTTCCGATCCATTATTTATTATTATTGTTGTTTGTTTAATATGTACCTCTCTTTCATTTGTTAGGCTCCCAGTACAAACTCCACAAGAGACCAATGGCTACTGGCTTGCAGATTGTATTTTCGTTGCTTTTGTTTAAGGGAAAGAAAAAGGGAGAAGATGGGGTGAGTCACCGAGTCACATCTATGACTACTGTTGTTTGTCCTTTTTTATATTTGAAAAATGGACTCATGGGTAGCTAATTTTTATTAGAGCAATACAAGTCGGAAGCTGTTCAATTCATTACTTCATTTGTGAGAGTTAGGTCGCCCATCATTTTTCCCCTCTCTCCTTTATCAAATCCGCTTGTCCTTTGATTGCAGGGCTTTCATTTCATTAATGGGCCACTTCAAGCAATTGATTATAATATTGATAGCATTTAGAGTTAGCCAAGGGGCTAAAGAGAGTGTTCCCGTCAACTAATATTTGGGCAAAGGAATAAAAATGGATCAATTAAATTGGGCTGCCTTAACTAATGGTTGCTTACTTGTTTATTTGCAAATGTCTTGCTAAATGGTCATTCTTGGTTCTCCGATCATCTGTTTTATTGTTTGGTGGTTTAGTCTGAATTTACCGTTTTGTCAGGTAGGTTGCTTATTTTGTTTCTATTTGTCTGTCTTACCGTTTAGCCCGCTTTAGTTCTTCCTTGATCTTTTAGGGCGCGTTTGATAATTCTTTTCAGACCTCTAAAAATGTTGTTTTTCAGATGTTATGCATGTTTAGAATCCGGTCTGAATATGGATCTGAAATTCCATTTTAGATCTAAAATCGAAAGAGGTTGGCCAGCCTCTTAATGTGGTCAGATGCATTTCAGATCGTGTTAAAAGACAAAAACAGGCCTCAGTTTCAAACGTGTTCCCCGTCAATCTCTGTTCGGTGATAAGAGGAAGAAGACGAACAACAGATCTGGGCGATTTAAGAAGAAGAAGAAGAAGAAGAAGGAGAAGGGGTGAGAGGGGAAATAAAGAGAGTTTAGAGGGAGAATAACCGGAGAGAGGGGGGGGGGGGAAATACCGCCACCCCTGTTCAGCCTTCGCAACAAGAACGATGATCAACAGTGCCCAAAACCGATCCGCGTCAGCTTCAAACGTGGTGAAATTTCGGGAAGAGCAAACTGTTGTTGCTGGGATCGGCTGATAGAAGCAAATTGACTGGAGCTACCGCTGCAGTTCCCCACCACTCTCTGTTTGATGATAAGAGGAAGAAGATGAACAACAGATCTGGGCATTCGAAAGAAGAAGAAGAAGAAGAAGAAGAAGAAGAAGAAGGGGAAAGAGGGGAGAGAGAGAGAGAGTTTAGAGGGAGAATAACTGGAGAGAGGAGGGGGGAATAGGAATACCGCCACCCCTGTTTCGCCTTCGCAACAAGAACGATGATGAATAGTGCCCAAAACCGATTAATTATTTTTTATTATTCATTCGTTATCCTTATTAACTTTAATTGTGTTATTTTTTAATTATTAATTTTTAATTTTTAATTAGTAATTATTTTAAGTTTTACTTGTGTAAATTACTAATTATTAATTATTTTATTACTTAATAATTATTATTTTTATTTTAATTATGTTACTTTTTAATTATTAATTATTTTAATTTTTATTAAGTATTAATTACCTTAATATTTTTTATTAGTCATCAATTATTTTTAATAATTTTAAATGTTTTATTTATTATTTTTTATTCGTATTATTTTGATATTATTTTAAATTTCATAAATTATTTAATATGAAATAGTACAAATTGAACTCAAATTTATCTGATAGTCTATTTTGGGGATTTCAGATGCTCAATGGTTGATCCAACACAAACAACCCTATCTTTTCAGAATATCTAAAAATTGGAAAAGCATCATAGCTCTTTTCAGATTTCAGACATTTTTAATATCTTTTTAACTTTTCAGATTTATCAAACGCCACCTTAGTTGTTTGTTCTTCTTTGTACTCTAAGCATTATTCAATGAAATTGATTTAAAGGGCTCTCTCAAGTCTCTAATGGTTGTTTACTTGTTCATTTGGTATTGTTCATTTCGCATTGAGGCTTTGTTCATTTATTGGTAAATAAATTTGGGAAAATTGGTTAATGGGTATTTTTTTCTATTGACCAACTTTAAAATATTCTTTTTCTATTTACTAATAGGCCCCATGGTAAAATAAACTCCATTTCCTCATATAAAACTTATCCATCAACAGATAATAAATAACTTTTTTTACCTAAAAGGAAATTTTATA